AAGTTGCAAATTTTTTTGTACCTGAAATCACAAAAAAAATATGTGATACCAGAATTCATGTATTATCAGCTTAGAATCTTATCATATGTGATACCTCAATTTGTTCATAAAGTTTCCTTTGAACTTCCATTTGCATTTGAAGAGCCTGAGTTACCTGCAAGTTTCTGTTAAACACAGAACTGAATCAATAAAACCATTTCCATAATGAATAAAGAAGTCTAAAACTTCACATATTTGATCAAGTTCTGAATATTACTCAGGAATATGATTCTGGGCCCCAACACTGATTTCCTTGCTGCAATGATCATCACTGCACTTGATCTCTTTGTAATCTGGACCAAAAACAGCATCAATATTATATCACCTGAGAAAATTTTCTACCAATCATGCTATTACTGTTAAAGTAGAGTATTAGACAAACAACAAGTTACCTTGTTGATTGTTGTCAGAACAGGTTTCTACCTGTTGGCTTTTCCCAAGTCTATATTTCTATAACAAGTAACACAAATAAGTTATATTTCTGGGTTGAATAAATGAAAAATCAAAGAATCATGGTATTCATTAGAAAAGGGTAATGCCTGTAAATGACTCTTCAGGTGGTACAAAGTAAGTCCTGGAATCCCCATAATCTTCATAATACTCTTTGGGGTTGCCTCTGCAAACATTCACAATACAAAATATATATTATCTAAGATATGATCTAAAGTATAAGGGGAGAGATCCACTTAATCCAAGAGTAAGTGAAAAAAGACTTACTCTAAATCACGATCATTCATTCAGTTTAATAATAATGTTATTAAGATTGTACTATACTCACTTTCTGATCCTCCAAGCTGATTAGTTGCCTCAATGAATCTTTGGTGAAGTTCAGGAGTCCACTTTAGCCTTGGTTTTGCATCAGTGGATAGAACAGAATGTACACTTTGGTTTTGCATATTTTGTTGATTCATTTTGCTATTTTTGTTGAGTTACTTGTAATGGAATGGCACATAAATATATTTCTTTTGATCCTTATAGCTATGAATCAATAAGTGGGAAGCTATAGTTCTCTTTATAACTTGGAGTTGTTGTGTTGTTCTATGATCTCACTCCATATCAGGAGACATAAGTGGGGTTATGTTGGGGGGAATATATGCCATTCTCTCTTATCCCATTTCATACCCACTTTCACTTTTCTTTTTCTCTCTTCAGAAATAAAATAAAAATTTCACCTTCTCTTTTTTGACTTGAATGGGTTGGAGAGAATCTCTTATGCAGCTAAGATAGAGAATGCAAAACAGCTCAAGTTTGAGTCTTAAAAAGAGGAAAAGTTTGTCGTTTGTTTTTATATCTTGTTGTTTCCCTCGCTCTTCTCTTTATTCCCTACTGAATTAGATAGTTGAATAAGTTACATGATGTATGACTTATTTCCCAACATGGACCCCTCCACATAAGACTGCGGATCAGACGAATGTTACCTTTGACCTATAACTAAATGACATCTTTTGGCCTATGACAATCAGAAAGAAATTGGGTTTTGGCTTTGATATCATATTAAAGTTTCATCTCAAAACCAATTAACAATGAGAGGAGTAGCCCAACAGATATTTAAATCATTTTCGGACATAATAAAATATGTGATAGGTGCAACTTTCTTAATGGTGTGAGAAGCTTAAAGTTAAAAAAAATGATGTGAATGCTGTTAATTGGTGTAGATATATCCTTCAAATTTTAATTTCCTTGTGACTTAAATATTTATGAATGATAATCACAACCAATCAAAATATTAAATAACATCAAACAGTATTGTAATAAGAGGTTGTTATCTTTTTAAATTGTTATTTTAATGACTAATAAGCATCTGAGGGAGAAAGATTTATTTTCTTTGATGATGTGATTGGCAGATTCTTTTTGTTCCATATAGGGATGGGGAATAAAAGAATCCAGGATTAGATTTTTGGACCCAGAGACCCCATGTTTTGTACAGAGAAAGTATGGTGTAAGAAATATAATTAATCAACCATGTATGATTAAGATGTAGCTCCTATCAACATGGCTCTAAAAAAAATACATGTTGGTTCAAGACATAACTATGCATAACATGATAATTTATGGTGGATAAAAATTATATTCTTATTACAAGGCAACAAAATAAGTGATAGAAGGTAATTATAATTATAAATTACTACTAGAGGTGCTAGGAGATAGCATACCAATCTAAAGGGCTAACTCTTCATAAAAGTCACATAAAAAAAAAGATTATTCCAAAGGGAATACATGCTTTAATGATGTGTATGTGATCAATATCCAAGGTAAAGAGAAGAAAAAGAATTTTCACCAAAAATAAAAAAAAGAAAAAAAAAAAGAAAAAGGAAGTTTATAATGGCCAACAACATATCATAAAAGTCAATTTGTGTAAGTCACTCTTAAGATTTATTGTGTTGGCCTCTAGAGTTTGATCACTACAATCAAAATACAATTATTGGCCTTTAAATTACTGCAATTTCAGTACCAAGAGTCCTTGCTGGTCTATACTAGAACAGTTTAATAGTATCTCTTGATTCAAATCTGAGGAAAATCTTTTACCAAAATTTGATTCAAGTGGTTCATCAGAATATCTACTATTCCCTATATTATCTTGATTAGTGGTATGTGACTGTCTTTGGTGTGAAAAGTTCACTAACCATGTTTCAAATATCTCATATTTAGATTTGGTAGCAGAATCAGAATATAGGTGTATGAAAATTGTACATAAATAAGGTGATATGTGAGTAAATGTGAATATGTAACATTATTGTATAGATAATGTTTTAAAGATGGACTTAGCTCACATTGAAAGAAAGGAATATAATTATTGACATTTATTTGGTGTATGTGGACCAAATGTTTGAAAAACAAGGAAATAATAAGGGAGAGTAATTGCTAGAACTTTCTCTTTAACAAGTTTCTTTCATGCTTTATTATATTCCAAAGCAGGTAAAGGAGATTCCATGATGATGCCAAAGCCAAAGGGACCATGGTATTTTTAATTAGATCAATAGGAGAAGGTGTGATGAATCAAAAGTCATATAAGCAAAGTTGCCTCATCAATAATAATTATTCTCTTAATGGACCCATCACACATGAGAACACAAGTTGTCTATGTCACTTCTCTATGCCACCAGTTACAAATTGACACGTCAATTAAAGTTGCATCATAATAACTAACCAAAAATTAACAAAACATAATCGTGAGTTTGTAATTAGTGACATAGAGAAGTGACATATAAAAATAGCATAAATAACTTGTGCTTATGAGAAGATCCCATCACAAATCCAAAAGCATTGAAAAAAGATGATAAGAAGAATGTGGCCTCAGGAATCACAAAAAGGAGAAGAAAAAGAACTTGTCAAAATCCCACCATAGAATAATTGAAACTTGCTGAAAGAAAAAAAATGTTATGTCAAACTTGGCCACTTAGAGAAAATGATGTGAGCAATATGTCACTAGGTAAATTTTAAGAGTAGAATAGGCCTAAAGCATATTGTATCTATAACACTATCACATGATTTTCTTGCACTCCTATGCTTAATTTGTGAAGCAATAACCAAAAAAAAAGTGTAGGTGGAAACATATTCTGAACAATTACCAAAGTTGAACATTACATATGTGAGGACCAATAAGGTACTATTAGACCATACTATGAACAATGCTTGCATCTCCTTGAAGTTCTGTGAATACCCTTTAATTGAACTAGCTAGATGGCAGAACATTTACCATCAAATTATGATGCAAGTATATCCCAGGTTCATTAAAGAATATATAAGTGAATCAGATATATAAAAATATATATTCAAAGTTAAAAATTGGCAAATTGCAGTAAAATTTTCAAATCATGAGTATGCTTTTCTCACTCTATCTACAAACCCCTACATAGCTAATAGTTATCCTTCAAAGTATAAGGGTATTAAATTCTAGAATCTCAATGGGGCACAACATTTTTTGTTCAAGCATCCTAACTCTCTCTCATGAACAGGTTGAGGAGAGAAAACAGCATCATACAAGAATATTCAATTTTCATGTAATGGCATATTGATACTATTTTGCTATTTATTACATATAATTCAACTCAAAGCACCACGTGCTTCCGGTTCTTAGGAAAAAAGTGATTAAATATCATAATTGGAAGAGCACTGCAGCATAAATTAACAAATATATTAGATTGGTTTAGCTTTTATTAAAAAAAAAGTAAGTGATGTGAAGTAAAGACTTGAACAGCATTATTTTTTTTCCATAAAGAACTGAATCATGTTGATGACAAGATTAAATTTGAAACATGTTACAATATCTCATGCATGTTAATGATGATAGAACAATCCCTTTAGAAACAGAAAAAGTATGGAGGGTCAGTTATTTTGTCCTGTAACATTTATCACAAGATTCTAGATTAGACTTAGGAATTAGTTTTATGCCATAGAATGTCATCAAATACCAACCTTGTGCATTGCACTGCATTAGTCTCTCAAATTTACCCAAATAGCCAATCAAAAGTGTCAAGAAACTAATTAAAAGATCAAAATAAGTTTTTTTAACTTACTTAAGGAATAAGTGGATTCCTTATCTTTATTTTTATGATAAAGTATTAAGCAAAATTTGGTTAACAAATTGTTGACCATCACATGAGGAACTGCAACATTTTAGTTCATTTAGGAACTTCATAGTATCAGTTGGAATAAATATCTTGCAACTGTAACACAATTAAGAATGCCTACAGAATTTTAATAGTTGGATAGGAAAGAATGATAATCTAGAAATTTTCTTCACTTGAGTTCTTTAACACAATTAAGAAGTTGCAGCTTTTAATTAATAAGCAAACCCAAATTTAGGTTTGAGGAGCCAGCCCAACTAGGAAAAAACCTAGAGTATCAACTTTTCATATACCCTTTTCCCTAAAAAAATTACTCTAGCTGCATGTTCTTTTCACACTTTTTGCCATATACTATATCTCACATAACCAAAATCATATATTCAATCTCAAAATGGGGATGTAGCTCAAATGCCAGAGCGCTTGTTTTGCATGCGAGAGGCACCGGGTTTGATCCCCGCATCTCCACAGTTTTTTCCATTTGTTTTTAATGACAAAATTGTAATTTTATTGTAATAAAATAGATATATGTGTCACAAAGCAGTTTCAATATTACAGTATGTGGCGTTAATCATCAACACATGACTTTTAATTTGATATATTCATAAATCATAATTTGCAAACTCCATCCAAAATGTTACTTTAAACATTATGTCTGGACTTGCCCTTTGAAATCTCAAAGGTCAGTAAAACTTTTGAACTTGGAATGAGTTGCTTCTCACATAATTTGGTCACTATGCATGTAAAGGTGTTATTGTAATTGTATAAGCTAGCATTCTAGTGATTCCTAAATTGTACCAAACTTTGCACTAACTAGAAAGGGAAGCATGAATTGATAGAATGGCAAAGCAGTGATCAACACCTCACACCCACTTTCTCCACCAAAGTCTATATTTCTATACCTTATATGCCTTTTGAAAGACACCCACTACACACTATTTTAACCTTAGTTCCTATCATATCAAGCTTTAAATAAATAATAAATATTGATATCCAAGGCTTCATATAAAAGTATATATTGAGTTGATTCGTGCACGTGAGAATCTTCAGCAAAATACATTATCACTTTTTCCAACATTTTCATACTGGTAAAGCTAATAGGAATGCAACAACTGGTAAAACATGTGAATGATGAATGATTTAATAACAATGTCTGCATGTATTTTTTTGTCCATAAAAAACATAAATATAGTTTTTGAAACGTATGAGGTGTAATAAAACAAAAACTAAGTATAATAAAACAAAAACTAAGTATGGTAGTATATTTCTCCTTTTCTTTTATTATCATAGTTATTAAAACAGTTTCGTGTCAGTCAGTTGAACCGGTAAACCGGTCCCAATACTGGTAAGATACAATAATTATACTGGTAAAAACCGGCCAAAATCGATAAAAACCGGTTGATTTTCAATTGAACCGTAACGGTCATACCGGTTGATTTTTATTTTTTATAAAAATAAAAATAATTATTGTTTTTTATTTATTTTTCAACATTAATGTTAATATATTATATATGTATATCTAACTTTACCGGTATACGGTTTAATTAGTGAACCACCGGTTAAATCATTATACCAATGTATCAGTACTCTTACCAGTTTGATAACCGATACAGTATTAATAACAGTAGTTATTAAAAATGGAAATGATGACATGAATACTTATCTTCCCCTTTTTTCATTCTATAAAAAGAACATATCAATCAATATTTGGTGTTGATTCTAGATATCACTATTTTCAATTTGTCATCATACATAACATGGTGTTGCAAGACACTTATCATGTCAAGTCAAAAAAGGCATATATACGTTAGTACTTGAAGGACAAACTTTCTACTAGAGATTACCCAACTTGCCATGCTATATTTAAATAATAGAAATTCAATGTCTCAAATTATATCTTATATGTTATCTTATACTAATAATAATGAAACAAAAACAACAATAAAATAGTAAATATTTAAATTATTGAATTAATATGACATATTTTCATTAACATGAAACAGCATATGAGAACCCATATCTATTTATCTCTAAAGAGCAGCTTTCTGCTTTACTAAAAGTGCATAAGTGGGATCTTTTTAAATTCGCCAATCAAAGTTTGATTGTAGTGCTTTAAAGTAAGCATGCATCATGATCTTGTCCTAATTCACCAATTCTCATGGTCTTTTAGCGACATAGGCTACACTCCAATAGTAGAGAGTTCATCCATGGAGTAGGATTTTTGATAAGTGACAACATAAATATTAACGATCTAGATTTAAAATTGGAATTTATTTTAATTACTAATTAAATAAAAAATGGAATGATGAAAGGAAAATAAGTGTTTTCTTCCTTACACTACTCATTTTTTTACTACTCTCTCTTTCTCATGCATATGGATGGCAATGGGTCTGGATGAATCCGGGTAGTGCATTATTCAGACCCGCTCCACTGCTTTGTTTTTGACTCAGACCCATGCTAATACCTGCTGGGTATGCTACCCACGGGTCCATGTGTACCCAACGGATCTATGGGTACCATAAATTCAAAAATATTAAAAATAATTGCAAATAAATTATGCATTTGTATATTTGTTTTTTACGATCTTATATGTTATTTAGACAATTAACAATAGAAAAAATTGAAAAAACTTAATTTAAAGTTTTAAAAACAACACTATTAAACACAACTCATTTTTCCCTAACAAACATTAAAAACAACTTCAACATTAGGATGAAAAATTCATTTAGTATGAACTCTTCGATTAACATAACATCATACATATGAATTAACAACGTAATATCATTACTTAACCGTATAACATCACATTTTAACAACATAACAATCACATTTATGAATTAATATAATATTATAATTATGGATGAATATGATATTACAATATACATGATATTACAATTAGGTTGTTTATATATAAGGATGACAATGGGTCTTGATGGGTCCGGGTAGTACTACCCGGACCCGCCTCATTTTTTCATTTTGGGACCTAGACCCGCCCAAGACCCAGGCAGATACCCATCGGGTCTGCTACTCGCGGGTCCATGGGTACTCAGCGGATCTACAGGTACCCAAAAATTCACATAATATTTAAAAATTGCAAAAAAATTATAAATTGTAAAAAAATTATAATACAACGTGTGAGATTAAAAAAAGAAACAAATGATAAAAAAATTATAAAATATAATTAAAACATAAGTCACAACTCTAAATTGTACTTAAATACAAATCTTTTTTACTAAGAGCATAATTTAAAATAAGACAATAACACATCAAATGTCTATGATCCCTCCATCAACAACACATGGAACAATTGGTTTGTGCAAAATGAAAAACATACAATTTAAAGATATAACAATTAACTTTATAGATAAGAACATCAATAAATTTACTAACATTATCATCATCGATATCATCTAGTATAATATTTGTAATAAAATTGAAGTAATTTGGTGGAGACAAGAGATGATGAGAATAAAGAAAATAAGGAAATTATGATTTAAGGAGGAAGAGTGTGTGTTAGGGTAGAAATTAGAAAATTAGATTATGTTTATATATATATATATACACGAGGAGAATAAAGAAAATAAGGGAATTATGATTTATGGAGGAAGGGTAGTTGTTAGGGTTAGAAATTAGAAAATAAGGAAATTGAGTTATGTTTATATATATAAAAGAACGGGTCTGGGTACTAGCGGGTCTGGGTACCACATTACCCAGACTCGCCCCATTCAATAGCGGGTCTGGAAAATATCTAGCCCCAAATACCCACAGATCCAAAATAAAGACTCAGACCCTACCCGTTGCGGATATTTTTTGTGGGTATCACAGATCCGGGTACTCATTGTCATCATTATTTATATATATATAGGAAGAAATAGTGGGTCCGGGTATTCACGAGCCTGGGTACCTTATTATCCAGACTCAGACCCATCTAACAGTGGGTCTTAAAACTGCGGATCTCAATTACCCACGGGTCCAAAACATGGATCCAGACCCGACCCATTGTGGGTATTTTTTGCGGGTACCCACAAATCTGGGTACCCATTGCCATCCTTACTCATGCCCTACTCATCTTCGTCATTTTCAAGCATTGTCTTGAATTCATAATAATAATAACACATACAAGTTTTTAAATTGACTCACTCACCAAACAATAACACACGGAGAAAGGATATAGAAAGATGAGGTCTTTGTTAGCTGAAACAACAAAGAATAAAACAGTGTGGTTGAATGTTGTATCTAAAGGTATATTAGGTTTAGCGGTCTCTCAAACAAAAATAATATATATGAATAAGAGATGATATATTGATCGTACAAAAAAAATTATACTAAAAGTAAATGAATATTAATTTTTTCATAAAACTTAGACAAAGAAGATAGATCAAGAAGCACAATGGCTACTAACCAATATATAAAGATGAACTTAAATCAAATGTTAGGATTCTAACATAAATCCAGGGATTCACACACCAATGAGAAAAAATAGAAGCAATTTTTTGGGGTGCTAAACTACCTCCATAATCTAACTTGGATTAAGTCCACGTGTTGGTTAAATATTTGATGACTACACTAATCAAGGGAAGTATTTTTTTGTTAACAAAGTTATTAACCCTTCAGAATAATGTATCTCCTCCAGCCATTAAAATTGTGACATGTGTACTATTTAATCATTTTCTATAAAAATATTTCTAAAACTAAACTAAACAATAAACATATCATTTTTTTACTGGTTGAAATATGAAGTTATCTCCTGGTATGAGAATATATTTTATTCTCATGGTTGAAATATGATGTTCTAACTGTATAATTTCTTCTCCCCATTTAATATATCTTCCTAGATTTTTTTACACAAACAAATGAAATCATTTGATTTTTTTTAAATTGTATTATTTTCATATTATAACCTTTTCGATTCTTCTCATCTTTCTTCCTTTTCACTACTAATTAATTGATGACACGTTTAAAATAATTAATTTAAGAATATATTAATAAGTGTCCTAAGCATATTATTAAGAACTCAAGAAAGAATTTTTTTTGCATTTGAAACTATAACTTGATATTATTTAAGATTAATACACCACTTTTCAATATAAATGTTCTATTTCTTTAAATCTTTAAACAATTCACTTTGGGTTTATAACACTTATTAAAATTCCTTTTCAGAAAATAATGATAGATATGTAAAATGACAATATAGATTTCCCATTTTGAGCTTCAAACAATAGAGTTACAGATTCACATATTCTCCTAATCTATTTTAACTTCTAAGTCCTTCAACCGACATGAAGTAACATGTGTTGTGTTACATATAAACAATTAATCAAGACACATATTTATTACCTTGATGTAGGCAGAAAAAATTGTAACCTGAATTAACAAGAGGGTAATAGTGTGTAACATCCCGGGATGACAACGAGTACTGCAAATAATATTTGGGTCGGGTCTGAGTACATATTTTGGGTCTATAAGAA